TATTATTCTCTTATCTATATGGAAATTGATTAATAAGGGTTTTATTATTCTAATTCATGTCACAAATAAGGCATTGAAATTTGGAACCATAGATAGTAATTGGTCATGATTTATATTATTAAGATAAGAGTTTTATTTTTGCTAATCTTTTTTTACCACTTTCTTCTTGATCAAGTAATAAGTTTGTACCATTTTTAATCTGACAAGTAAAAAATAGAAATATTAGTTAATAATAATGTAATCATAAAGAATTCAAATGCACCACCATCTATATATTCAATGCATGTATGCATTCTATATTTGAAGAAGCCAATTAGCAAACTCAGTATTTGCTTGAAGTGATTTTGAATTCAACTTCATGTTCACTTTTAATGTATGAATTTTTATTTGAGGCCAAGGCGTTGAATGCCAAAAAGATGCTGCTATAATTTTTTCTCAAATTCTTTTCACAATCACTAGTAATATTTGGTAAAATTCTCCACCAAAAACTAATATAGCTCTTTTAAATGAACGATCAATATTTTGAATGTCTCTAAAAGAATGATCAATTGCCTTAAGATAATAACAATGTCGCATTGGAAGTTTATCCCAAATAATAAGGAAAGTTTGGCGAATAAACTCAATATGGTTGGAATTCTTAGTAATTGAACAAAAAGAATCTTCATTACAATCTAGTCGAATCTTGAATGTAGAATGGAAAGTTCTTCTTCCTTCAAGTAGCAATGCATCTATTTGTGATGATGTAACATATATGATAATCTTTTGAATCAATCAAACTTTAACTACCAAAGTATTGTAAACAAATAACTTACTAGTTCCTTTAGGTCCATTTAGAAAAAACATGCATCCATGTTCTTCCATTATAGAGGCCACAATATCATTATATGCCTTTGTTTATTCAAGATTCAATTGTGGAACATAATGCTCTAAATTTACTTGTAATTTTAAAATATTCCATGCTCTTTCTTTAGTAATAAATCAATTTCCATTAATTTTTGTATTCCAATTGTTTCTTCGTAATGGCATTGAAGGAAATTGTACAAGCATTCTATTGGAATTTTGCAAAATCTTATCTAGCAAGAAAAGTCCATAATTCTTAATTTGTTCATCTGTTTGATTGCTAATTCTATATTCTCTTTACAAACGGGCATTGAAATCATCTAAGATGCTTTTTTTAAATCTTTTTCATAGGTTTAATGGATTTAGCAAATTTTTTTGTGATAGAAAAATAGCAAACAACGCCCTCAATTGAAATCTAGTTTGTATTCTTGATGCTTCTTCCAAACATTGTTGCCACTCTCCATCATCTTCAAGCAATCCTAAAGCTGCATATATACTTTTAAATGTTGGATGGAAAATCCCATGAATAGTCATTAAGTGCTCAAATGATTGTAGACCTTTAATATGGATTAACAAAAGCCTCAAATAATATCTTTCTCCTATTGCAGGATTTACAAAATATAATCTTCCAATAGCAAATCCATATTTTTTTAACGTCCACATCTTTCTTGTTTTATGCCAAATGAAATGTTATAGAAACTATTAGTATGTATATTATCTTGCCACTGCAATTGTTGCACACATCTCAAAAAATGAAATTAATGTTGTCTTTTGACTTTCAACATGTTTTAAAATTGTAGTTGCCTCGTCATTAAGATTATATACCACTTGATACATTCTTGATAGACAAATGGCCAAACAAATAATATTTTACATTTCTTCATAGATTCGCATGCCAAATAGTCTCTAAGTAGTCTTTGGAGCTCCAATGTACCTTGCATCCAAATATTATTTGATCTCGTCTAGTTGGTTTTCAAATTGCATTGTAATGCAATTATGGCCCTTATAGATGTATTTGTGGATATACTTGATAGCACAAATAGATGTACAAACCTTAACATTAATATAAAAATTATACTTTTGAGATAGTTTTGAACAAAATGGAATAACATCCCTATTATGAACAACCATTTCTCCAACTTCAAATCTTCTTCTATCATATCTTTGTCGATATTGAGGATATCTATTGACATCCATTGTTGTTTCTTCTACAAATACCTTTGAATATCTCTTTGTTCAATGATCATCTTCCATGCTGCAAGGAGCTTGAGGATTTTACATTCCACATAGACCATGTACCGTGCATTGTAAAATAACTTCAAACAGCTCTTGGTCATTGTTTTTATCTGAAAATTTTACAGAAATCATACAATCTACATCTCTAGCACATCTAATCTTGCTTTCTCTATCCAAAAATATTAAGATATGCATATGAGTTAGATCCCTATTTGAAACTCAATGGTATGAACATGAGCAACAACATGACCAAAGACAATTCTTTTCTTTATATCTTCCATAATTGCACGTCTCTTCAGCTCAAATATAGGAGCAACTAAATTTGATTGATCACTTGATCGTTGTCTTTGAAGCAATTCATTTTGGATTTTGGACCATTTTAGATTTGCTGTCATTGTCATAAAAATATCAAGATGTTGATAAAATCTTGTAATTTCCATAGAATCTTAAAATATTTCTATCATATGTCTTGTACTTCCAATATGTGATGATCCTTCATAAGTAAGATGGAAGTAAGATCCTATGTCCTAAATTATTTAATTCATATTGTCCTTCTTCATGCCCAATATTTTGATGAGTTATAATAATATCCAGTAAACCTTGGTATAAATTGGCATGTAGATTTCCTTGATTATAACATAGATATCACAAACGTGATTGCTCAATTATTGCCCATTCGTCAACCATAAATTCTTGTAATAGCATTTTTCTACACAAAATTGTGGAATACTCGATGGGCCTTAAAAAAAGTCAATAAGAAAAATAATCCATTTATATAAGGTTGTTTCTTCTCCAATCCTCTCGTCTAACACCTTCTCTTTCTTCAACAATATCCATCACTATATTTTGTGCTTTTAGGTCAAGATGCCATCCAAGGGTTCTATGCAAAAAAAATAGAACATAATGAAAGGGCAAATAAGTTAGATGAGCCTCATGAATCCTTTCTAAAAATCCATTATTACATAGGCAAATAATAATAATACAAAGTACATTATGCTCTGATCCATCTCCAAGCAATATAATAGCAATTTCTTCAAAAGTGGTAGAAAGATTACATCGGCGTTTATTGCTCTCATTCATAAAGTACAAAGAAACAACAAGCTCTACTATTACTATTCCTTCATTCTACACCTAAGATAGTATTTCATGTGCATGTCTATATAATCCAATAAATGGATTATTTTTCCTCAAAACTTTTCCAATTTTCCACATAGTTTGACTCAATAAACCACGATTATCTCTCATTCTTCTATCTTGTGTAAATAATACATCGTGGATATAAAGCTGTGCATAAGTCAGGCCGTTACCTTTTTCTGATAACAATGCTCCCACTAAATGGGGCAACTCTCTATTTATTCTAAAATTGTATAGAACACTTTCTTGAAGCACAGATCGATTAATATTTGCACCTAAGGATGTAAATGCATGTGTAGCATTATATTGATGGATATTTTCTTGAAATTCCTTTGCTCTTGTATCTTAATCCTCGAATAAGCATCTCAAAAGCAAAGGCGGAGAAGAGAGAGATAGTAGAGAAATTTTTCCTTGATGACAACATTGTCCAAATAACGGCAACTCTCTTGGCAACCGGACTAAATGTTCATAAAATCAATGCAATGCGTTACAATGAGGATTCAAAACATTTATCTTCTCTAGATTATGTATGGCTTCAGTACTTGTAACTATTTCAACTTCTCTTTGTGCTCTCTCACATTCTCTATGCTATCGTTGAGCAATTGCTTTTTGATTTATTATTAAACCTAGACTGTTTATAACGGCATGGGTTGCTTCAACACTTGTAACTATTTTAGATTCTCTTTATGCTCTCTCATGTTCCTTATACTGTTGTTGAATAATTCTTCTTCAATTCATTGTTAAAGCTGGACCATTCACAATAGCACAGGTTTCAAGAGAGAATTGGAATAAGCTTGGAGTCATCTAAATTGTAATCTATAAAATTGTACCTCCATATTTACTAAAATATTTATACACACAAATATATATATATATATATATATATCTATTTATACATATGAAGTTGGATATAAAAAATCTCATATAAGAGGAAGAAATGATATTCCTACAATTTAATTTTTGTACAACAATTCTTGTTGTAGTTAACAATACTTGTAAAATTCCAATAAAACTTTGTTGCTCAAGAATCCGTATCTAAAATGAAGATATTATTGTTAAACATGGTTTTATATAGTTATTTTAATATTTTAATAGTTTTTATCTTTAAAGTTATATTTATAATTTTTATCTTTATAGTTATATTTATATTTTTTATTTATAGTTATATTAAAAAAGATGATAGCTGAAGGATGTGAAATGATTGTAATGTAGAATCAAAAAAGTCAAGCACAAAATTCTTTTATTTATGGTTCTTTTACTGAAGGCTTGCAAAAAGGTGTCATTTATACTTTTTAATCTTCATGCCTATACTCCAAAGAATTAAAAAATAATAATTTCTCAAATTTTTGTCATAATTGGCTTGACAATTTAATTAACCATTACCAACAGCTTGTCATTTTTAAAGTATAATTTCGGCTTGAATTAAAAGTAAATTTGACATGGCTGGAATAAGTGAACTTTGATTGTCCTAAAATATTACAAATAAATTCATTTGCTTGCTCTAGAGCAAGACGGCCCAAAAATGAAACTTGACGTCGATCATAATAAAGTCAAAAGAGTTTTTTTTGTAATAAAATGAATAAATAAATATCAATGCATAAATATCGATGAATAAAGTTGCATATTGAAGTTGCATATCAATAAAATAAATATTGATGCCTCCAAACGATCCACATGGCATTCTTGGATTAAACAGTTTCCAAATGGGCATCATTCAAGTGAAGAATTATCGGAGGATTCACAAATCAAAATGAACAAATGATTATATCATTATTTTATATGAAGTTGAATATAAAAAATCTCATAAAGTTAACTTTGATTGTCATAAAAATATTGCAAATAAATTCATTTGATTGATTGCCACAAAAATATTGCAAATGAATTCATTTGCTTGCTCTAAAGTAATGGCCCAAAACTTAATACTGATCATATCCAATGGCCTCTTCTCATCATCTGACAAAACCTACAATGGAAGGCACGAACAAAATTAGAAACTAAAAAACTAAAAATAGAAACTAAAAAACTTGCTCGACTTGAAATTTTACCTCCTCAGGCGTAATTGTGTTTTACCCAAGTAAGGCTTCTGCCTACGGGTGAGATGTGCACTGGACATCTCGGCAAGAGCTGGAGCTGCACCACTTGTGTTTCACCTCCTCAGGTGTGGCTTCTGCCTACGACGGTTTACCCCCTGAGGTGTGCACTGGATTAGCTTCCAACACCACGGCAAGAGCTAGAGTTGCACCCACTTTTCACGGCACCAGCATTCTGCACCCACTCCCAGCGGCACCACCAATAAAATTCAAGCCATAAAATTCACTTGTTTGTAAAATTTACACGACAACACGACGACATCCAGCCAACCAGCCAGCCAGCCAGCCGGATGCAGCAGCTCAATACCGTCGATCCACCTGCAATGCGTAGCAACTACCACCTACTCTCCCATTCACTCATCACTCGAGAAGAAGAATACAAAAGAATGCTCTGAGTCTAGGAGGCGGCACACGGAACATCATCAGTTTTGTTACGGGCCTATGAACACCGCGACCTAGCGAGAGCTCATTGTGATGAATCCCTTGCATTCCCCACTTCCAGGGGCTCCCCACTCCCAGCGGCTCCCCTCTCAGCGGCACCAACATTCAGGATCATCAAGCCTTGCTCCGAACCATCCAGTTTGCCTCAGTGCTTTGCCACACGACCACACACAACAACATCTAGCCAACCAGCCAGCCGAATGCAGCAGCTCGATACCAACCGAACGCAGCAGTTCTCTACTCACCTGCAACGCATAGCGACTACCGCCTGCTCTCCCATTCACTTGAGAAGAAGAATGCAGAAGAATGCTCTGAGTCTAGGAGGCGGCATACGGAACGTATCGACACAACACGTTAACATCCCGAAACAGCAAGTTATTAGTTCTATTAAGGTCCTGTTTTCTCCAGATAATGTGAAGTTTTTTTGATGAAGACGAAGTGGGGAGCATGCGGTGAAGGAGAGCCACCACTTGTCTCCTCGCACTTGTCTCCTTGAGCATTCTTAATATATAGATGGATTATGTAAATACAAAATGTATGTATTTATACAAATAATATATATTCTAGTTTATACAACACACTTTATTGTGATATAACTGTTTTATTTATTTAAAATTTTTTTACTAGTACATTTAACAGGCAAGTGTATAAACGTAAATTAATTTATGAATTAAAATATATTTATTTATTTATTTTACACATGTGTAAAATTAATTTTATTAGAGAAAAAAAAACACTATAGCAATGGAAGTTAAAAAAATCAGAATTACATCTTAATTGCTATAATTAAGGTTTTTTGTATTATTGGTGTCTCAAAACACACTCACACTATTGTTATGCAAAGATACATGGTAAATAAAATCGATAGACTACAAAATTAAGTAGTACTTTGTAGTAAAATAAAAACACAATTAGATTTTAAAAAAATTAACTTAAAATTTACCACTGACTTATTAATTATGTTCTTATATAAAGATTCACTTTTAGAAAGTGTATTACAAATAATCAATCAATTGAATAGGTTTTTAAAGTAATAAAATATATTTAATGGAATTTATGTTTTCTGTTTAAATAACATATATCAAGTATCTCTGTGGAGAGGAACAAATCAATTTAGGCTGTTGGTTCACGAAACCCCACGCATTTCAGTTCACCATTCTCTGCCCATGCATGTTAGATGGCATGTAGTCGAGGAAAACCACAATGTTTTATAAGATCCTTTCCGTACTCTCAAATCGTTGCAGACACTTGCGATCACCAACACCAAACAATGGTTGACGATCGACACCAGCAGGACAACAAAACTATATATATATATATATATATGTAAATAAAATAAAATTCCTGCACAAGCATCCGGAATCATATATCGTGAAGTAATAGAATGGCGAGCTGACTGAGGTCCCTATACCTGCGTCAGAGCAAAGCTGCGGCTCCCCTTCTGGGCCACAACAGCAGCAGGCACACCGGCAAGAATCGACCTCAATATACGGTATTCGAGGATCATCGTTCGAGCTGCAGCCATTCCAACCTGCAAGTATTCGCAACTCAACCACTAACCCACAAGCTACAGCGATCTGTATGCTACGACACAACTACTACACACTATCCTGCTCCGTGAAAATGGAAACAACAAAATCAACAGCAGAGGCAAGTGAAATAGCCACGAAGTCAGCTTTTTCATGACTTGTGAGAATCGGGTGGGACAGTTACTGAAGCTTGAGATGCACCGAAGAATTGCAGCCATAGAAGACTGGCATGAAGGAGTGCCCATGGGAGGAAAGGGGACAGATGAAGGCCAAGTGGAAAGGTACATGAAGAAGGTGGGTCGCGGTGCATGTGCATGCCACGCGCGGGCTCTGCTGTCGTCAAACGGTGCATCAGCCCTTCGTCCCCCCTGAACTCCATTCATTCATTCATACACCTTTCTTCTTCTTCCTCTTCTTCTACTGCTCTCCTCCATGTCCAATTCGGCATTGTCGCACTGTTTGCTTCTCGGCATGTGCTTTCTTACATATACATTATTCAAGTGTGACTATGCATGCATGGCCTGTGCCAAAGTCCTCTTGTTGAATATCCATATTATATGTACTGAAAGCTATGATTTATCCAGCTCTTAACTAAGATACTGCAAGTATTCTCCATATTATATGTACTGAAAGCTATGATTTATCCAGCTCTTAACTAAGATACTGCAAGTATTCTCCATATTATATGTACTGAAAGCTATGATTTATCCAGCTCATAACTAAGACATTCGAACTATTCTCCATATTATATGTACTGAAAGCTATGATTTATCTAATTCATAACTAAGACATTGGAAGTATTCTCTATATTATATGTACTAAAAGCTATGATTTATCTAGCTCTTGATTAAGACATTAGAAGTATTCTCCATATTATATGTACTGAAAGCTATGATTTATCCAGCTCTTAACTAAGATACAGCAAGTATTCTCCATATTATATGTACTGAAAGCTATGATTTATCCAGCTCATAACTAAGACATTCGAACTATTCTCCATATTATATGTACTGAAAGCTATGATTTATCCAACTCATAACTAAGACATTGGAAGTATTCTCTATATTATATGTACTGAAAGCTATGATTTATCTAGCTCTTAACTAAGACATTGAAAGTATTCTCCATATTATATGTACTGAAAGCTATGATTTATCCAACTCATAACTAAGACATTGGAAGTATTCTCCATATTATATGTACTGAAAGCTATGATTTATCTAGCTCTTAATTAAGACATTAGAAGTATTCTCCATATTATATATACTCAAAGCTATGATTTATCCAGCTCTTAACTAAGATACTGCAAGTATTCTTCATATTATAATTACTCAAAGTTATGATTTATTTAGCTCATAAGTAAGACATTGGAAGTATTCTCCATATTATATGTACTGAAAGCTATGATTTATCTAGCTCTTAATTAAGACATTAGAAGTATTCTCCATATTCAATGTATTGAAAGCTATGATTAATCCAGCTCTTAACTAAGATACTGCAAGTATTCTCCATATTATATGTACTGAAAGGTATGATTTATCCAACTCATAACTAAGACATTGGAAGTATTCTCTATATTATATGTACTGAAAGCTATGATTTATCTAGCTCTTAACTAAGACATTGAAAGTATAAACCATATTATATGTACTGAAAGCTATGATTTATCCAGCTCATAACTAAGATACTCCAAGTATTCTCCATATTATATGTACTGAAAGTTATGATTTATCCAGCTCATAACTAAGATACTCCAAGTATTCTCCATATTATATGTACTGAAAGCTGTGATTTATCTAGCTCTTAATTAAGACATTAGAAGTATTCTCCATATTATATGTACTGAAAGTTATGATTTATCCAGCTCTTAACTAAGATACTGCAAGTATTCTCCATATTATATGTACTGAAAGTTCTGATTTATCTAGCTCATAACTAAGACATTCGAATTATTCTCCATATTATATGTACTGAAAGCTATGATTTATCTAGCTCTTATTTAAGACATTAGAAGTATTCTCCATATTATATGTACTAAAAGCTATGATTTATCCAGCTCTTAACTAAGACATTGGAATTATTCTCTATATTATATATACTGAAAGCTATGATTTATCTAGCTCTTAACTAAGCATTGGAAGTATTCTCCATATTATATGTACTGAAAGCTATGATTTATCTAGCTCTTAATTAAGACATTAGAAGTATTCTCCATATTATATATACTAAAAGTTATGATTTATCTAGCTCTTAACTAAGACATTGAAAGTATTCTCCATATTATATGTACTGAAAGCTATGATTTATCCAGCTCATAACTAAGATACTCCAAGTATTCTCCATATTATATGTACTGAAAGTTATGATTTATCCAGCTCATAACTAAAATACTCCAAGTATTCTCCATATTATATGTACTGAAAGGTATGATTTGTCTCGCTCTTAACTAAGATATTTCAAGTATTTTCCATATTATATGTAGTGAAAGCTATGATTTATCTAACTCATAACTAAGACATTGAAAGTATTCTCCATATTCTATGTACTGAAAGCTATGATTTATCTAGCTCTTAATTAAGACATAAGAAGTATTCTCCATATTATATGTACTGAAAGTTATAATTTATCGAGCTCATAACTAAGATACTCCAAGTATTCTCCATATTATATGTACTGAAAGTTATGATTTATCTAGCTCATAACTAAGTTATTGGAAGTATTCTTCATATTATATGTACTGAAAGCTATGATTTATCTAGCTCTTAATTAAGACATTAGAAGTATTCTCCATATTAAATGTACTGAAAGCTATGATTTATCCAGCTCTTAACTAAGATACTGCAAGTATTCTCCATATTATATGTACTGAAAGTTATGATTTATCCAACTCATAACTAAGACATTGGAAGTATTCTCTATATTATATGTACTGAAAGCTATGATTTAGCTAGCTCTTAATTAAGACATTGGAAGTATTCTCCATATTATATGTACTGAAAGTTATGATTTATCCAGCTCATAACTAAGATAATCCAAGTATTCTCCATATTATATGTATTAAAAGATATGATTTATCTAGCTCATAATTAAGACATTGGAAGTATTCTCCACATTATATGTACTGAAAGCTATGATTTATCTAACTCTTAACTAAGATATTGCAAGTATTCTCCATATTATATGTACTGAAAGCTATGATTTATTTAGCTCATAACTAACACATTGGAAGTATTCTCCATATTATATGTATTCAAAGTTATGATTTATCTAGCTCATAACTAAGACATTGGAAGTATTCTCAATATTATATGTACTGAAAGCTATGATTTATCTAACTCTTAACTAAGATATTGCAAGTATTCTCCATATTATAAGTACTGAAAGCTATGATTTATCTAGCTCTAACTAAGACATTGGAAGTATTCTCCATATTATATATATTGAAAGTTATGATTTATCCAGCTCATAACTAAGATACTCCAAGTATTCTCCATATTATATGTACTGAAAGCTATGATTTATCTAACTCATAACTAAGACATTGGAAGTATTCTCCATATTATATGTACTGAAAGCTATGATTTATCTAGCTCTTAATTAAGACATTAGAATTATTCTCCATATTATATGTACTAAAAGCTATGATTTATTCAGCTCTTAACTAAGATACTGCAACTATTCTCTATATTATATGTACGGAAACCTATGATTTATCCAACTCATAACTAAGACATTGGAAGTATTCTCTATATTATATATACTCAAAGCTATGATTTATCTAGCTCTAACTAAGACATTGGAAGTATTCTCCATATTATATGTATTGAAAGTTATGATTTGTCCAGCTCATAACTAAGATACTCCAAGTATTCTCCATATTATATGTACTGAAAGCTATGATTTATCTAACTC